AATTACTTTATGAAGTTGAAGGCTTCCTTTGGCCTTACCTTTGGCTGATCTTCCCCCCAACACCCTTCCTCTCTGGCCTCTCCTTGCTGGCTCCCCTTTTAAACGCCTCAGTTTCCCCTTTCTACTTTCATATCCTATGTGCACTATTACTTCCTCCCTCTCCCCTAAAGTTTCAGTTTCCTAGACTCTGTTCACATCCACTGCCACATAAATACTTATATGTAACAGTTAGAAGCTAGGATCTGCATAGGAGACACATGAGGTGTTTGGCTCTCTGAGCCTTGGTCATCTCAATATTTTCTGGTTTTATCCATTTACCTGTCACTTTCATAATTACATTTTGCTTTACAGTTGAATAAAATTCCAGGAGAAACTGTATTTTGTTCATTTTGAGACAGGATCTCGGTGGTTCAAGCTGATTTCGAACTTACTTTGTGGCCTTGGCTGGTTCCAGATTTGCAGCAATCTTCTGGTTTCAGATTCTGGAGTGCTGGGATTACAGGCCCTGCCTTCCTCCGGTAGAGACAAATTCTTAACAGAAATTAGCATTGTGTAAATTTTTCCAGGAACTCTTTAAAAATGTAAATTAACCCACCCTACTAGAATTCTAGGAGTCTTTAGCCCTGTAGGTGGGGCCTAGATATCACAAACTTGGGCCATTCTGCTACTCCCTAAAGTCTGGTTATCTTGGTCATAGATTAACTGTGTGGGTATGATAATTTGAAGGAGCGACTCTGGAGCCTCTGAATAGATTGATGTGTCTGGGCTCCACTGATTGTTCTTGCTGCTTTCCCTGAAGGAAATTACCAGGATTTAGAAAAAGTGGGTGAGTTTTCCTCCATACTTTTCTGTAATCATAACTTTTTTTCAACTCCTAAACTTTTTTTTTTTTTTGAGACAGTTTCTGACTATGTAGCCCAGGCTGACAAGCCAGTGTCACCTTGGCTAGCTTAAGCCTTTTTTAAAAAGTGATATGGGAGCTGGGCATGGTGGTGCACACCTTTAGTCTCAGCACCTGGGAGGCAGAGGCAGGCGGACCTCTGTGAGTTTAAGGCCAACCTGGTCTACATAGCAAATTCCAGGGTAGCTGGGGCTATGGGGAGACCTTGTCTCAAAAAGACCAAAAAAGAAAGAAAAAAGAAAAAAAAATGAGATGGGGTTTTGCTTTGCAGGATGGAGCTGGGATGGGAGTTGTCTTGAACTCATCCTCCTGCCTTAGGTTCCCAGGTGCTGAAATCACAAGCTTGTGTGAGCACTGAGCCTGGTTCGGAGTCCTAAACTCAATTTTAATATCTTTGGAAGCTTAATAGATGGATGAGTGATTGATAGGTGATAGATAGATAATAGAGAGATAGATTTGTGCAGTGAAAGATTATGTGAGGAAGCCAGAACAAAGAAAAATCAAACATAGAGAAGAAACAGACACGAATTTAGCATACAGACAGCACTGTTGTTCTCCTCTTGGTTTTGGTAAAAATAGTATTTGTTCTGTCCTCTGATTTGAATTTAAGCTTTTGCTGGGTGGTATAAGATTTTTTCACATCGTGTGAGGGGGGTATTTTTTTTATTTTTTACTTTTTGAGACAATCTCACTGTAATCGTGGTTGGCCTAGAACTTGGTACACATACCAGACTGGTCTTGAACTCACAGAGATCCACCTGCCTCTGACTCTTGAGTGCTAGGGTTGAAGGCTTAGGCCATCACACCCAGCATTCAGTGTTTACTGAGTGTCTAACTCAGATACTGACACAGGTGTCCAAGGAACTTGATTCCCTGTGGATGGAAAGTAAGCCTGTTCACAGAATAAAATGATCCACACACCTGGAATTAAATGTAGAGGGATGTGAGCAATGGGAAGTATTTCAAATTGAATTGCACTGTCAGTTTTCCGTGTGGAAGTTTTGAAGCATTCCAGGATTTAGAGATTGGAACCATGTGGAGCAGAAGACCCAAGTTTCAGAGCCTGAGCTTCTCAGCTCTGTTCACTGTTGTGAAATGTACAAGGAAATCTGAGTGGGAAGTTTCCTGCTACTGTTCAGGGAGGGTAGACAAGGGAAGCTACCCAGGGAGCAGAAAAAGACTAAGCAGACTGTGAGTAGAGGAAATGTATTTGCAAGTCACACAGTTTAAAGGGCACTATTTGGAGTTCAGTTTTCCAGAAAGGATCTCACTCTGTAGGCCAGGCTGTCCTCCAACTGTAGCACAGGCTGACCTCAAACTGGCAGCAATCCTCCTGCCTCCTCCTCCCAAATGCTGAAATATAGGCATGACCTCCCACATTTGACAAAAGGGTAAGACATTAGTATATAGAATTCACAGCAGAAGAAAGGAAATTGTTCTTTATAGTATGAAGGTAAAAGCCAGTGCTAGTCTTTAAAGTTAGTATTTCTCACCCAGCCAATGGGCAGTAATCTAAAACTTTAATGCTTAGAATGCACATTTGTCTAGCCTTTTTGGCTAAGAATCTTACAAAGCTACTAAAATCATAAATGAATTTGCCAGTGATCCTGTCAGAGAGAATTATAACCTTTAAGGCCAAAATACTCAGTGCTTTTAGTTCTAAGACTCCTCTACACTCCATCTGTATATGACTGGGATCTCATATAGCACAGACCGGCCTCAAACTCAGTACGCTGCTGAGAATGACTGTGAACTCTTATAGTTGAGAATACATTTTAAAATTCTATATTCATTAAAGTAAGTTCTTGGCCTTTTTTGTTTGTTGGTTTTGTTTTGGTGGCTGGTGAGTTGACTCACGCTAAACCTGAAGACCCGAGTTTCATTCCGGGGATCCACATTATGGAAGGAGTAAACCAACCACTGAAAGTTCTCCTCTGACCTCTGCGTCCGCGTGCGTGTGCACACGCGCGCGCGTGCACATACACACACACACACACACACACACACACACACACGCACGCATAAAATAAGCAAATAAATGTACATTAAAAAAATATAGGTATAAAAATTTGAATGGAGGCTGGAGAGATGGTTCAGCGCTTAAGAGCACCGGCTTCTCTTGCAGAGGACCTGGGTACAACTCCCAGCACCCACATGGTGACTAACAACTGTTTCATAACTGTAGTTCCAGGGGCTCTGACACTGTCTTCTGCCCTCTGAGGGCAGGTGCACTTACATGCTTACAGGCAATACACTCACATTCACAAAAAATAATAATAATAAAATTTTAAGAAAGTTTGAATGATATCAAGTACCTCATATGCTAATTAAATTTTTTGTTGTCGCTTTTGCTTTTTTTCTATTCCTACCTTTTGTTTTAATTTATTCTTTCACAGTTTCATGTATGCATAGTGTGATTTAATTGTGTTCACCTCCATTTTCCTCTCTTAACCCCTTGCATTTTTCCCCAGACCCCTTCTTCCCAACATGTCCCCCTTCGCCTTGTGTGTGTGACCCACTCTGATTAATGACAGGATCTCATGTAGCCCAGGCTGCCTCAAACTCCTGCCTCAACTTCCCAAGTAGCTGGGATTGTAGTTCTGTGCATCTAGGCCCTGCTGTTATATAATCTGAATCTGTCTTTCATTCTTGCATAGTTGTTTAACAATATACTTTAGGTATTTGGAAATAGGCTAAGTTTGTAGACCTTCCAAATGGTAGTATTTTATTTCAATTCATAATCTTCCTGCCTCAGCATCCCATATTTACAGGTGTGCACCACCATACCCAGTTTCAGTTCTTTTGGGGGGGGACAGGTGGGGAGGATGAGGGTTTGAGATAGGCTCTCCCTGTAGCCCCAGCCGGACTGGAACTCACTATGTAGAGAAGGCTAGCCTCGATCTCATAGAGATCTGCCTGCCTCTGTCTCCCCAGTGTGGGAATTAAGGGCATGCGCCACCATGCCCAGCTTAATTTCAGTTCTTTAAAAGTAAAAATATTAGTTGGGTGTAGGGATTCACATCTGTAATACCAGAACTTGGGAAGCAAAGACAGGAGGACTGGCCAGAGTTTGAGGCCAGTTGAGGCTACATAATGAGTTTCAAGCCAGCCTGGGCTAGAGTGAGACCTTGACTCAAAACAACAACAAAATAAATAAAAGTAAAAATGTTATTAACAAATAGTATCCATACAAAAATCAAATAGTTAGGAGTTGTGACACAGCCTATAATCCCAGCACTCAGACCAACTACATAGAGAAGAGGAGACCAGCCTGTACTATATGAGACCATCTCAAGACAAAATGAAATAGTATCTGATGTAACTTCCATCTCAAGCAAATCACAGAATAGATATTCTTTAAGTGGCCATTGTGTTTCTATGTACAAAATGAATGTTTTTATGTGAATTTTCCATTTTGTCACAAAAACATTAACTCTTACACTTAAATATTTGGTAGTTTTCTCCTTTTTAAAAAAACTTTGCCTTAGAGGGCAATTTATTAGTTGCTATAATAAACCTATTTTTTGGCACTTTAAGATCTTACTATATAACCCAGGCTGGCCTCAAACCCTAGGCAATCCTGCCTTAGCTTCCTGAGTGTTGGGATTATAGGTATATAGGCCACTATACTCCATAGGTAGTCTTCATGAAAACATAAGAATATTGATGTGAACCAACACGTCTGACCTAATAAAATATTCTTTTAAAAATGTATGTGCCAAAGTAATATACTTAAATATTAAAACATTTTTGTCATATCTTAAGCATTAATTCAAAAAGAAAAGGATAGCCTGTTGTGGTTCGTAGCTCATCCCTGTTATCCCCATCACTGTGGAGACAGACTCAGGGAGATTAAGGCTAGTCTATACAAGTCCCAGACCAGCCAGTTTTATGTAGGGGAGCTCTATCTCCAAAACAAAACAGAACAGAACAAAACAGAAATAAAAAAGCAAAACAGAAAGGATGCAGCTTATTTATAGAGTGCATGAAATACACACACAAGCTCTGAGTTTGTCCCCAGCACCACATAAACAAGAGCTCAGGCACAGAAGTGCCCCAGTCCAGAAACAGTCTGTTCTTCATATAGCCAACCATCAGAATGTCTCAAACGCTGAAGCCACAGTCGCCACCCAGCGTCACAGAAGAGTCCTACTGTAGAATACACCTGGAGCTGCTGAAGCTGTTCTGTGAGGATGACCAAATAACAATTTGCAGCAAATGTTTCCAGTTGCCAGTGCACAAGCATCACCTGGTTTATGAGATACATGAGGCTGCTGAGAATTACAGGGTAAGCTTTACGCAAAATCGCTAAGAAGCTGGTCTACCCCTTGTTGGTTGATTAATTGGACAGACACACTGACTCTAATGAAATATTCCCTTAGTTGGAGTTTATTAAGAAATACCACATTTGGGACTGGAGAGATGGCTCTGTGGTTAAGAGCACTTACTGCTCTTCTGAGGACCTGGGTTTGGCTCTCACCACCCACATGACTGCTCACAACCACCTGCAACTCCAGTTCTTGAAGATTCAATGCCCTTTTCTGAATTCTCTGGGGACAAGGCATCCATGTGGTATATATACATACATGCAGGCAAAGCATTCATTTGCAAAATAAGTGAATAAATAATAATTTTAAAAATTTAACAGAACCTTCAATATCAAGGCTAAGAAAACATGGTTAGGACTACTAACCTTTTTGCTTTCTGTAGATAGGAATCTACCTGTTCTCCTGCAATTAGCTTATCTACAATTTTGTGATCTATTTTATTATAGAAGTTATTCAAGGAAACACTGCATATGTTGAAGGGGAAACTTGAAGTAGCTAAAAGTATATTGGCTGATGAGCAAGAAAGAATGGTGAGGATTCAGGTGAGTGCTTTTCGTGATGCTGGGGGAGGAAAGGAGGACCTGCCAAAAATGTTAGAAATCTGACAGGGCCGGGCATGGTGATGCACGCCTTTAATCCCAGTACTTGGAGGAGAGGCAGGCAAATCTCTGTGAAATTGAGGATTCCATAGTGTGTTCCAGACCAGCTGGGGCTACAGGGAGACTCTGTCTCAAAAAAACAAAAAGACAAAACAGGAAAAAATATTTGAAATCCATAAAGGGGAAGAGACCTAATTTCTTTTTTAAAGATTGATTATATGTGTATGTTTGTGTCTGTGAGTTTGGTGGCTAAGGAGACCAAAAGAGGGTATTGGATCCCCTTGGATCTGGGTTAAAGGCAGTTGTGAGATACCTGACCTGGGTGCTAGGAACCAAATGGGGGTCCTGCAAGAGTAGCAAGTGCTCTTAGCCACTGAGCCATCTCTCCAGCCCCAAGGGCTAATATCTTAACGATAAAAGGCCTCTCAAAGTCAATGTAAAAAAAATTAAAAATTCAATAAAAAATGATCAAAGAATTGCAATAAAGTAAGGGCAAATATCCCTTTTCTGGAAATAAATCCCTGTTTTCATTTTTTTGTTTTAGTGATTTTTTTGATTTTTTGGTTTTGCTTTTTAAATATGCTTTAAACAAACAAAACTTGCCTGGTGGTGGTATACATCTGTGGTTCTGGGAGTTGAGAGGCTAAAGCAGGAGAATCAGGAGTTTGTGGCCATTCTGGGACTTACACGTGGTGTCCGGGCTAGTCTGGGGTAGATAGCATAGCAAGACTTTGTCTCAAAAGGAAAAGCTTCAGAGCCAAGAAAAAATAAAAAAAAACAAAAAAACCCCACCTAATAACAACAAACATACACACATATGTACAAATAGAGGGCCTGGGAGTGAATTGATGTAGAGTATTACAAGAGCATAAATAAAGCCCTGAGTTTGATCCCCAGTACCAGATAAACAGGACACAGTGGTGAAAGTTTGTCATCCCAGAACTAGAGAGGAAGAGGCAGGAGGATAAGAAACAAGTTCAAGGTTATCTTCAGCTAGAGTCAAGTTTGAGCCAGTCTAAGCCTACTTAATAGTCTATCCCCCGAAAAAAAAACATTTATAACTTTGCTTATGGTAGAAGAAATACAAATTAAGTTGGGCATGGTGGCACATGTCTTTAATCCCAGCACTTGGAGGCGGAGGTAGCTCAGCTTGGTCAACATAGTGAGCTCCAGATCAGCTGGGGCTACAGGTAAATCCTGTCCCCAAAAAAAATAGGAAATACAAATTAACCATGTTAAAACTGTAAAATCATTATTGAGATGGTATTTTGATATTTGCAGTCTTATTGCAAAGGATGCTTATTGCAAATGCTGTCCTTTGCAAAAAATAGTGACACGGAAGCAGGAGCATTGCAGGGGCTGTTGGTGACTGTGTAAGTTGTGAAAGGCTTTAAAGGGCAATTTAAGACTGGCTATCCAAGTTAGGTCTCACCATCTGCTATATACTTTTAATTTCTAATTCTAATCCATCTCTTTATGCTTAACCCTATACTATTGCAGGAGAGCCTGGGCCTTCTCTCAAATTTTACAGAATATAAATATCTAATGGAGACTGAGTGCATGCTTTCATTCCCAAAATTTGAGCGGTAGAGACAGCAGATTAGGAGTTCAAAGTCATCCTTGATTGTATAGCAAGTTCCAGGCCAGTCTTCCTGAGATCCTGTTTCAGAAAGAAAAAAGAGAAAGAAAAGAAAACCACTACTTCAAAGTGGCATGATGCAACTTTTCTCTTTCTTTTTCTTTCTTCTTTCTTTTCTTTTTTTTTCTTTTTTGAGACAGGGTCTCCCTATAGCCCCAGCTGTCCTGGAACTCATTGTATAGACAGGCTGGCCTCAAACTTACAGAGATCTGCCTGCCTCTGCCTCTCAAGCACTGGAACTAATATGTGCCACTGTGCTTGTCTGTTTTCTTTAAAAAAAAAATTGTTAATTTATCTTTTATCTTATATGTACGAATGTTTGCCTACATATATGCAAACGTGGAGGCCAGAGAGGGCATTGGGCCCCCTGGAATTGGGGTTAGGATGGTTGTTCACGGCCATGTGGGTTCTGGGAACTGAATCCAGATCCTCTGCAAGAGCGGCCAGTGTTTCACAGAAATACTGTAGCTGTTAAAGGGAGAGTAAACTCTAGAAAGTTAAGCACATTGGGGATAGCCACCTGTGTTGGCACATGCTCATGATCCCAGAACTTGGGAAGCAGAGGCATGGGAATCAGAAGTTTAGGGTCAGCCACTGCTTCATAATGAGTTCAAAACTAGCCTGGGCTATATGAGATACTTTCTCAGAAAAAAAATATCATCTACAAGACAGAGCTCTGATAAATTCCTTTCTTCTGGGATTTAGCCTCTCTGTCCTTGGACTCTCCCTCTTGTCTACATTCTTTGTTTTCTGAGACAGGCTCTGACTATGGAGACTGGCTGCCTTGGAATTTTCTATGTAGACCTCATTGTACTAAAAGTTGCACTGATTCCCTCTCCTCTTTCCCATGGTTAGAATTACAGGAATTGGCCACCATTCCTGACACCATCTTTTCTCTTTGTATGTTGTGATAAACCTTCTAGATGCTTAGTCTAAACACTTGATGTCTTCTGTGTTCCATTTCCCCCACAGTCCCAGGGAATCTCCTTTCTAGTTTCCTGGTGTTCTCTTTATCCAGAGGACATAGCTTAGTTTTGTTTTTTGGGACAAGGTCTTCTTACACTCTGCTCAGGCCTTATACTCTGCATTTCCTCACCTCAGCCTTGGGTGCTGGACTGGAGCTCCAATCCCTGTGCGGCTTCCTCAGCTGTACTGACCCAGGGGATTTTCCTCCATCCACATGTTGAGTTTATGATTGTGTGGATATCTTCACTAATCTTGGCTGAAATTCCTTTGCCCTTTAGATTTGTACCTTTTATTTCTTCCCCTTGTGTTTACACTGTGGTTAGAGAAAGAAAGAATATACGTATTTGTCATCAATTTATCATGTTTAGCCTGAAATCTAGCATTTCCATATCCAAGGAAGGAAGAAGAACAGAGTTTTAAAAAGATGGTGGAGGCTGAGTATAAGATGAGATTCCGGTTACTGAGAGAAGAGACTGATCTGAAGTACCCGAGACAGCCAGCATGCAAATTCGACCAGAACTTGAATGAAGCTGGTCAGAATCAACTTGGTACAGAGCTAGAGCAGAAGTCCCAGGAAACACTACAGGTGAGAGAATAGCTCCAAAATACATTGGAAGTCAGCACCAAGCAATATATCAATTCCAGAATAATTATCCAGTGACAGCCACAGGAGTATTAGGCATTTGTTCACTCTCTGAGCAGTTCTGTTTCTATGAATTTATCCTCACATGCATATAAAAAGACACGTAATAAAGCTAAATAGACCTATACATTTATTTCTATATATGTTATATCATATTGTGCTACAGATATACTTGCATCCATGGAAAGACATTTGGATATGACAGCACTAATGCTGTTTCCATCCAGAGATACAGTTGGAAATTAATCTCTGAAGGCAGACTGTGCTGAGGTTCCTATTTGAGCTCTTATTTTTTAATTTTTGTGTATGAATGTTTGCCTACATGTTTTTAAGTGCACCATGTGAGTGCAATGCTCACAGAGACCAGAAGAGGGAGTCAGATACTCTGGAACTGGAGTTACTGGCAGTTGTTAGCTACCATGTGAGTGATATTTAATGATAACAGGAGAGTAAATGCAACCTATAGCCATCAATACAGGCTCACAGAATGAATTGGGCTGTATGTGTAATACAGAATGCTATTTGTCATGCTGTGGGGATAGTGTGACTCTGTGTCAATGAAGAACTCTCCAAGACAGAAGTAAGTGCCCAGATAGTAGAATGCAACGTGAACTTTTTCCTAAATAAACATTGGAATTTATTTGGAAAGATAAAAAATGAAACTAGTTATCAGTGACTTCATTATATAAGCAGCTCTATTAATAGATATAATTCTTAATTGAATTATAATTTTAATTAGTGATGAAGCACTGAACTTCCGAACAAAATTTCATGCAGAGTGTGATGTGTTTGGGATGCATATTTGTTAATCTGAGTAAACAGATTATGTGGATAAATGCCTGCCTCAACTTAACACATTAGATAATAAATTCAAATTTCATTTATTTATTTATTTTGAAATGAGGTCTATGCACTAGGATGCAGGCCTTGAACCTATGATCCTGCCTCTGTCTTCAAAGTGCTAGGATTATAAGTGTCTGCTGCTGCCACGACAATCTCTGTGTTACATAACACAGAGAGGCAGCATGGACTTACCTGCTTATGACTATTTCTGAAGGAAAAACAGACTGTATAGGATAAAGTTGAGTAAGTAAATAACAAAACGTGTAAGTTGCTGGATGGTAATGAAAGATGCTTCTGCAGAGACTGAACCGTCTGGGGAGAGAGAACATGAGTAAACTGAAGGCAAGTGAATTCCAAGTTGCTGAACAGCTCTGCTCCCTCCAGAGGATCACCACAGAGCTGGAGAAGAAGTGCGGTGAACCTGTCTTCACATTGCTTCAGGTGAGTCTGGAGAAAACCCTTCGTTGCTGTGTTTGAGAACTGAAGAATGGACAGTAATCATTAGGGGTCACTTCCAAAACTCAAGATTCAGTGAATTTCAACTTTAAGAAATAGTGCGACCATAATAAATAATGTGGAGCTTCCTCAAAATCCTAGACGTGGAGCCATTCGGTCAGCGAACCCACTTTGGGCTTAAGTCCAATGGGAATGGTATTAGTATGTCAAAGAAACTTCCACACTACAAGGAGCGTATAAAGAAAATGTCATGCAGAGACCTCATGGATAGAGCACTGCTCAGCCATAAAAAGAATGATGTTCTGTCACTTAGGATGACTAAGCTAGAATTTCAGATCATTACATTAAATGAAATAAGTCACGTAGGAAGAGAAGTGCAGTCTGATTCCCATTCACGTACAGAATCCCCCCAAAATGATGCCTTCGAAGCTGATTGTAGAATGTGATTAATAAAGCCTGGGAGAAGTGTAGAAAGAGAGATGTGGGGTGAGATTGGTTGAAGGGAGCTGAGTTATAGATAGATACAAGACAGACGGATGGATGGAAAGATGAGACAGACAGTAAGCTCCGGTGTTTTACTGCACAATGGGGTTACTATGTATCAGAATATTACACTGCATATTTCAAAAAGTTAGAAAATGTGCTTTATTTATGTCTGTATTAAAAAATAAACTTAAGACCTTGTCTCTAAAACCACAACTGAAACAAACCAGTAAGTTTGGCATTGAGAGGTGCCTCTGTAGGGAAATTGGTCAATGCAATACAATGGAATACTTCATGACCATAAGAAAGAATAAAAACTGGGTCTTCGGGTACTGATATAGTGTCTTAAAATATCTCATTAAGTGGAGATAGAAAAATGATGAAAAGGTCCAGGAAAGACACTTTGCTCATTTCAGCATGTGAGGTGAAAGCTACCTTACCACAGAATCTGCCTGTGCCTTCCTTGATAAATTCTCAGCCTCCAGACTATGCAAAATAGACTTCTGATGTATATAAGCTATCTAGAATACAGTGTTTTAATACACCCCTATCAGATAGACAATGTCTTTTCAAAAAGTCAATAGTCAATTACTTTCTTTTAAATTCTTTTCATATACCTCTTTCGTTTGAAAAGCCTGTGTGTTAATTCATTCGTATTTTTCTTTTTTACTTCTTTGGGGGTTGTGAATGGTCCTGGGAATCAAACTGCTAAGCAAGTAATTTACCACTTAGCTATGGACCTAACCCTAACTCACAATATTTAAAATAAAATAACAAAGTAAGCCACTGAAAAGTTTCTGTAGGTAACCCCTTAGGAAATAGTTCAGTTCTAGTGCCGAGGCTATTTCCAGACAGGGTGAGCAGGTGTGACCCAATTATCTGGAGCTCCTGACCTGGCTCCAGCTACCCTCCTGGTCTAGTGGCCTTCCATCTGCTCAAGTCTTCCCACTCCAGCACAGAAAACAAATACATGGGTCCTATTTGAAAGATAAATATTCTAAATAAGATGGTCAAGGTGAGGCACAGGTGATGCGTCTCTTAGGAATAGAGTAAAATTATGCCAAGTGTTTTATCTGACTTTTGCACATGCACATGTGTGTGAGTGAGCCTTGGACATGACTTATAAGTACCTTGGTTTAAATGCCTGGTGGTAATCTTATCTCTTTTTTTTTCCCCTCTTTTAGAATGCAAGATATAATTTAGAAAGGTAAGTTTCTGGAAACAACTGGATGAGAAAAGGGTCTGATGTGTTGAACACAGTGGGTAGGAATGTTGGGCAGAAATGAGGAGGTTATATTTACAGATAAAAGTTAATGAGGTCCATCCCGATGGAGGGAGAGTCCTGAAGCTGATTGACACTTTTTTTTAGGAGTGAGTCCCTACTACTTCAGAGCCTAGAGCCTGCTGAGATCACAGACTTGAGTTCATGCCTGATACAAGGAATGAGCAAAGTTCTAATGGTGTTCCAAAGTAAGTAACACCTGCCCACAAGTACAGTATACCTGATTTGTATGTTTGCAGATGAAGTGGTCATCCCACCATAAATAAAATTGTATTTGGATAGATTCAAATTAGAGAACTTAATACACCATGTATTGTAATATATAATATAATAGTATTATATAATATTATAATAAATTACATATATTATGCTATTATATATTACGTATTGGACACCTATCATCAAATATGAAGATTTCCTACACAAATTTTTTACCATTTTCTAAAGTCAAAAGCATTGCCGACAAGTTCCACCACTTAAAAATTTAAACTCTGGGGCTGAAGAGATGGTTCAGCAGGACAGAGCACTAGCTGCTCTCACAGAGGACCCAGGCTTGGTTCTCAGCACCCACATGGTGGCTAACAACTGATGGTAACTCCAGGTCCAAGTGATCCTGTGCCCTCTTCTGGCCTCTGCAGGCATTGTATGACATGGGTGCACTTACATACATGTATGCAAAACCCACACATGCTCAAAATAAAAATAAACCCAAATTAAATTTCTGTAGGGAAATTTCAACATGCATTAAGGAAGGAGTGATTGTCCTAACTGTGATTTTGCTTTTCCCAGAATGCTCTTTTAGTGCAATCATACAGTGGCCTGCTGAGTCTGATGCCTTTTGCTTAGCATGGTGAAGTTGAGATCCATCCAGATTGTTACAGCATTAGTAGCACCCTCCATTTCATTGAATAATAGTAGGATATAAATACCAATCTCATTATCCTTCCTTAACACTTGAGTTGTTTCCAACTTTGTTGTGCATTTGCAAACAGACTTGACTTTGTTCTCCTGGATGACTGTCTGGCAGTGCGATTGCCAAGTCTGTTTTCCAGACTGTCCACACTGTTGTGCTTCCCGTCAGCACTTCTAGTATTTGGTGCTGTTGGCTTATGTATGTGGCGGCATTCCTTTTTATTTTAATTTGGAGTAACTAACTAATGGACTGTTTATTTACTTCTGCATCTCTATTTTGATGGAGTGTGCTAAAATCTTTACCTTGTTTTTTAAACTGAGTTACATCTTCTGCTGAATTTTGAAATTTCTGTATACATTCTGTCTAGGAGTTACTTTATTTTTAACCTGTGTGTGTGTGTGTGTGTGTGTGTATGTGTGTGTGTGTATGTGTGTGTTTGCACATGTGAGCCACAGTGCCTATGTGGAAGACAGGGGATAACTCAAAAAACTAAGTTCTTTCCACTACATGAGTTCTGTGGCTTGAATGCAGGTTGTCGTTAGGCTTGGTGGCAGGTGTCTTGACTTGCTAAATCATTTCACTGGCCCTCTAGCCGTTACTTACCAGAGAAGTGTTTACAATATTTTTCTCCCAGAGTACTTTATATTATCAGTTTCCTAGCAATACCTTTTAAATTTTGATAAAATTGTATTTTCCAATTTTTTCTTTTACACTTTGTGGCTTCTATGTCTAATTTAATTTCTTACCTGCCCCAACCCAGATTTTACATTTAAGTCTTTTTAAAGAGAAGGTCACCTGTAACTTAGGCTGGCCTCAAATTCACAATGTATTGGAGATTGGACTGGAACCACTGAGCCTACTGCCTCTATCTCCAAGAGCTGTGTGTGTGCGGCATAATGCCAAGCCTTGGGCCATAACCTATTTAGAATATTTGTATACAGTTCAATAAATGATATGGTATGGAACTCTCTACTTCCAATTTTCTTCTTCTTTTTTGGTCTGTGACTAGTAATTGCTTTATCTTACATTCTTTACAGATTTACCTTGTTGGTTTCACTCAATACTAGTTTTCTAGTCTGTAAATGTGTATACTGGTTTTTTATAGTAAGTCTATTTGTTCTTGAGATATTTAGAAATACCTTGAGGCCAGGAATGAAGGTATTTTTCCAGAGAGAGTTTACATTGTTTTAGCCAGTCCTCTGGAGATACTAAGAGTCTATGATAGCTTGCAATTTAAAGTTCAGGGCATGGGGCAGCTGAGACTGCTGTAATAATGTGAATTGGGTTGCCAGTCCAGCCACTGAAGTTAATTAAACTTGCTGAAGTTAAGTAATGGAACTTAAAGACCCTGCTGCAGGATTAGATGTTAGAAGTAAGAAACACTGAACTGGTCCAGATTTAGAGATTAATCAACTAAAGGAGCATGGAGGGTAGTACCAAGATGTCCAGGTTGGAGAGGGGTAGGGCTGGAATTGATTTGCAGTTTGTTGTATTTGAAATTCCCATATCACATCCAACTACTGTTGGCATTTTGTTTGTGGCATGAGTCATGAACATACAGATGTCTAAAACTGAAGCTAGGTGATGTCATCTGTGGGACGAAATACAAGCAGTAAGAAGAAGGACATTCCACAGCACCCTTAAGCCCCTGCCAAATCACAGTATTTGGTGAGAGAAGTAGTCTAAGATACAAGGAAGGCAAGTGTCTCTTTCCTTCACTTATAAGGGATCACCTTGCACTATTTGTTTTCAAGTTGATTTTCCAGAGGAGTCCCCTGGGCCTCTGCTAATAATTTCTTTAATTTATATAATACCTAGAGCCACCACCAGGAACTTTAGGAATATGACACTCATGAGGTTTTTTGTTTGTTTTTGTTTGAGACAGAGTCTCTCTGTAGCCCCAGCTGGCCTGGAACTCCCTATGTAGACCAGGTTGGCCTCAATCTCAGAGAACCACCTGCCTCTGTCTACTGAGTACTGGGGTTAAAGACAAGAACCACCATGCCTGGCCTGACTAAGGGGCTGTTTTTATGTGTTTTTAAGAGAAGTAGAGTGGTTAAATGATAAGCACAAGCCCCGAATCCTGTTTCATTAGCAGGTATTGGTTCTTCTGCCTGTGCTAGTCTTTGGTAGCTCTTTATAGACTTTGGGTTGAAGATGTTTCTAAACCTGTAAACCTGTCCTTGGCCTGTTATCATTTGTCTTGTTATTTCTCCCTGAGCAGAGCACAACCTTTTCTGTCATTATATTCTTTTTTTTTTTTTACACGACATTCATTTATCGAAGTAAAGCTTTGAGGTCTCCTTCTGAGCTCTCTTATGTTGCCTTTGCCATCTCTGTGGCTGAGACTTGTACCACTCATTAGAAAGCTGTTGCATGTTAGCAAGTGCAGCTCAGGTATTACTTCTCTGAACTCTAAGGTTAACTGAATTTCTTTCCATACAGGACATATAACTTTGGACCCAGAAACTGCTCACCCTTGCCTGGTGTTATCTGAGGACCTGAAAAGTATGAGACTTGGAAATACACCACCAAGTGTGCCTGATACCCCAAGGAGGTTCGACTTCGGTGCCTCTGTGTTGGCTGCAGAGAGTTTCCTCTCAGGAAGGCACTATTGGGAGGTGGCTGTAGGACAGGCATCAAATTGGCAATTGGGCATATGTGACTGTGTAGGGAGAAAGAGCAATAGGCCTCAGGTTTCTGGAGATAAGGTCTTGCTCATGGGATCAATGATGGGGGCTGATTACACCTTCTGGATCTTTCCTTCTTTAAGAAAGATCTGCCTGAGGAAAAAAATGTACAAAGTGGGAATCTTTGTAGATTGTGATCATGGGCAGATGTCATTCTACAATGTGACAGAAAGCTCCCTTATTTATAATTTCTCTGATCTTACCTTCCAAGGAGCAGTTAGACCTGTATTCTCTCTTTGTGTTCCAAACGGAGACATGAATTCAGACTCTCTTACTATCTGTCCCCCTCACACTCCTTCCTGAAATGCTGCTGTTAGCTCTTTGGCTCCCTTTGTGTGAAACCCAAGATCACCAGAGACTTGACAATTAAGATCAAGACTTTGTAAAAGCATTTGTGTAATTAGCCCAATAAAGCCCAGAGCCTTTGCATTAATGTTGCTTTCAACACCTGTTCAGTGGAAGGAGTAACTTTTACATTGAATTGCAAAGGGCCAGCATGAAGGCATTTGCCCCCAAGCCTGACAACCTGAGTTTGATCCCCAGTTCCCACATGATGGAAGGACAGAACAGACTCCTGCTAGCTGTCTTTTGGCCTCCACCTGTGTATGTGCATGCACACACGCACACACACACACACACACACACACACACTAAAATAATAAAATAAATAAAATGCAATAAACAAATTAATGAAGCATAACATTAATTAAAACAATGAATGCCTATATATCACGATAAAGAAATTAGAGAATAAATGTAGTCACGTTTCCTTAGAGCCAGGAAGGAGTACGACTGCAGAATTAGGAGTAGGAATGTGTCTCTTAATGATGCGTGCTGTTATGGATTCTGCCTCTGGCTTGGATGCATCCAATTCCTGACCATGAGCATGAAGACTTACTAACAGTTGTTCCATATAGAGAACAGTAACTTACTTTTCCGAGACATTGTATCTGAGTAACAAAAGGAGAGGACACAGAAAACGTGAGTATTTTTACATTGTTTTTTCAAGGATTCTCTATTCTTTCTGGCAAGGAAAATTAAATTTTATTTTTAAGACATCTATTTTGTGTCTATGTGTGCTCAAGGGCAATGCATGTGCTGTGGAGAGCATATAGGGAGGGTCACAGGGCAAATTATGAGAAATCTGTTCTCTCCTACCATGTCATTTCCAGAGATCAAACTCAGATGGTCAGGTTATTTTGATGGCAAGCACCCTTATTTGCTGAGCCATCTCAGTGGCCTTAAAATAAAATTTCTTAAAAGGAGCCTAGGGGTTAGGCAGAAAGCTGAGTGGGCAAAGTGGCTGGTGTACAGGCATGAGGACCCGAGGCAGTATCACCAGTACACGTGTAAAAGCACTACAGCACATGTCTATAACCCTAGCACCAGGAGTGGGGTGAGACAGACAGGTGGAGCCTGGGGGCTTCCTGCCTGGTCAGTTTAGCTGAAAAAGCAAACTTCTTGGTTAGTGAGAGACCCTGTCTCAAAAAAAGTATGATGGAAAACCGATGTCAACCACTGGTACATGTGCACACACCCACATATACTGCACACAGGGATCAGCAAATCTAAAAGCTCAGTGCTTTGAAAAGCTTTGTCATTGATAGCTCCTATCTGTTCCTTGATAACCCACAGAAAAAGTCTTTGGCCATTGAAGAAGCTAATAGTATTTGTATAAGAAAGTTTATGTGAAAAGGTTTATCATACTTTGCCTACTTTATTACTTTGTTTTGTTGTTTGTTTTTGTTTCTGTTTTGTTTGAGACTGGGTCTTCCTATAACCACAGCTGGCCTGGAACTCATTGTGTAGATCAGTTTGGTCCGGATCATCTCACAGAGATCCGCTTGCCTCTGCCTAGAGTGCTGGGTTTAAAGGTGTGCGCACACCTCTACAGATCCTTTGTCATTCACTTTACTATTATTTGTTTGAGATAAAGTCTCTAGAATCCCAGGCTGACTTCCAATTGCTGTACAGCCCAGGATGACCTTGAACTCCTGATCCAACTTCCTCCATCTTTCATAATTAAAATAAATTGCAAATAATTTGTACTTGTAGATAATATGCTATAGACTTTAATCACTGCTCCATACATTTTTTGGCATTTATTTATGTCCAAATATCAAGTACAAAAACATTCTAGCTAAGTTATACCCTACAGGATACCCTTTAAAACCTCCAAGCCCCAGCTGTTACCCCTATAAGTATTTTTCCTTGATTTCTTTGGTCTAGAAGACAATCAGACTGTCAAGCTGGATTTCCCTTTATTAAAAGAAACTCAATTCTAAGCTTTCTTTGGTCCGCAGAGTTTGGGGATGGTCTTCTGCAGAGTCCAGTAGTCAACACTTTTCATCTTTTGAGCAACAACTCGTAAGTTCACCTTCATCTACGCAGATTGTTTCTCCTTTTCTGTTATAATAAGCCATTTTTTACAAAACTATTCCAGCCGCATCATCTACCAACTGCAACTCTACTGCTGGAGAAAAAGTCATCCTGTACTCTACTGGACTGAATTGTGTGCCTGTATTCCAATAAAACTTTAAAAAGAGGCGAGAGTTTGCTAATCCCTTCTGTAGCCTAGTCACTCGTCTCAGTATTCGAACTGTGCCTCAGGCAAGACCTATCAAAACTGACTTGAAAAAAGTGAATGTTTCCCCTTTATAGACTCACCGTCAGCCCCAAGACTCACACTGGCCATTGTCTTACTCATACACAAACGAGATGTGACATCTACAACATCCACTGGTTTATTTTATGCTGTCCTGATTGAGTCCAATCTGTGACCTGCTCATATTTCTCTGCCTACTGGTCTCTGTGGTAGTTTTCCTATTGTGAAATCCTTGGATGTTACTCAATTTTCACATTATTTGAACTTGGCAGTAGTCAAGTAGTCAATACTATTAATCCTTTGCTCTTCAGGAAATTCTCATGTTCCTCCTACTGTCGTGACCGCACTTCTTTCCCTCTAGACTCAGAACAGCCAATATGCACTTGATGTTCTATCCTGTGACCTCTCTTCTCACTCAATTAGTTTGCGGAACTCAGACTGAACTCAGGGCTTTAAGCACGTTAGACAAACTCTGCCTGGAGTTATATTTCCAACACTTTTTTAAAAGTATTTTTAATTTTGAGGTAGGGTGTTGGTTAGTAGTGAGCGTACCTGTGAACAAACCCTTCCGACATGACTTCATCTAGCAGGCCACGATCACATAAATTTAGTAGGATAATAAACGTGTGTGACTTTATTTAATGTTTTCCTAAGTTATATGTTAACTAGTAGAATGGTTTGACTCAACAGTTAAGAGCACTGGCTGCTCTTACAGAGGACCTGGGTTCGAGATTCCCAGCACCCGCAAGGTGGCTAACAGCCATTTGTAACTCTAGTTCTGGGAGATCCAACACCCTCTTTCTGACTTCCATGGGCATTGCATGCACGCAGTGCACTTATATACATGTAAGCAAAACACTGATACACATAAAATATGCATAAATTTAAAAAATTTTAAAACAGGAAAAAACATCCTAGAGAATCTCAGACAATTATTGGAGGTGTTGCAATATATGGAGCACCTGGGATTATCCTCCACTTTGGGACGGTATCTTGGCATTTGATACATGTATATTGGTCCAATATTTATTAAGTTAAAAAAATCTGGTTTTATTCTATAACCTGGAAAAAATGGTCTGCTGGTAGGCAGATAAGTCATGCTTTGAGAGTCTTGCTGAACAGATTTATGTCTGAATTTGGAAGGGGAGGGGCTCACACAAATTTGGGCTAGCTCTGTTCATCCTCAGCAGACAGATAGGTCATTTTGACTGACTAAGCCTTATTGGGGTCTCAAAAAAGCAAAGTAAGTGACCTCACTGCCCTCAATTCTTAAAAAATCTTGTGTAAATCAAGAAAATGAATTAAAGGGTAAAGTAAGCATAATGAATCCACTGGGGAATAGGGAAATTTAGAGCTTGGATTCTTGGATTACCTGATGAGAAGGTGGTGAATTTATCAAAGAGCTACTGAAATGAAAAAACACACAAATGGAGAATGAGAAACACAGAAAAGCGGACGCTGGGTTGTGTCTTGGCAAACTGGACTGTACGTGAGAGGATGGGATATTTTTGCCCTGGGGGGAATCAAAAACGAGATTGACATTTTAGTCTCCCATGAGAAGAAGCAGTTCACTATGGTAGCAGATCTGTATGGAAAGATGTTGACAGGAAAGGGTGTTGCATTTAACTACTGTGTGTCTTTTTAGAATAATGGCTTAATGTACTGTATTTCCTAGGTGCCAGGTAAGATTCCAGATGCTTTCTCTCTGTTACCTCAGGCAACTCTTCTAAATCTAAAAGGTAGATGCTTTGCTTTATTTTATAGAGACAGAAATAGGTCCAGTAGGCTAAAACTCCTTGAAAATGCAGCCACAGTTGCAGGTATTTACAGTCAGGTGACTGAACTTGGATTGAGGAGAAAGTCAGGGAAGCTCAGGGCTATGAAGACTTGAAAGTTAAATTCGTATTTCTTCTCTTAAGAAATACGAATTTAACTTTGATGGGGATTTAATTTCTTACTATTTTCCACAACTCTGTTTACATATTTGTGTAATAAAATTTGTAATTAAAAATATATTAAAAGCTTAGGTGAATAAGCTTCCCCACTCCCCCAAATAAGGGTTTTAATGAGTGTTGTATTTATCTTAAGGTACACTCTAATCAGCTAAGGATTGCCCTGAATTGTGTTTTTTTTTGTTTTAGATAGGAGAGGTATGTGGCTATTCCAGATGCCAGAGATGCTAATGGTTTCTGTTTGAAAAGGGGGTTGGTAGAAGGATGGAAGGGTAGCTGTTGCGACCATCTTAACTCTAATTTCTGGTCTTTAGCCTATGGAATTTCTTATTACCTTCTTTCCTTTTTGTTTTCTTCCCAGTGGTGAGAACTGAGAGTCTCAGGGAGGCTAGACAAGACAAGAGCTCTGCCACTGACTTAGACCCCAAGCCCAGGTCTATGGAATTTCTGAAGCTGAAAGTTTTTGACACAACTGATGTTGAAAGTCGGAACCTCATATAACACTGACTTTTAGTCTAAGAACTATGCATGTGAATTTCTTCAGAGAATACATTAACCTTGCCTTCTTGGAGGAGTCAATTGCTTACTGTGCAGTGAAAGGCAGAGATACCAGTTAGCTTGGACTGTAGTGCTCTGGGGGACCTGGAGAAGAGGTGTGACATACATTATCTCTTTAAGAGCCTAATCTCTTTGTGGATACTTAGGAAAAAGACATGAATATCCATGAGAAATGCCATTTCCCCAAT